ACACTTTTCTCGTGCAAGCCTTGATTTTACAACACATAACAAAGTTATATAGACGGTTAGTCTTTGAATAACTATAGTTGTATTCATAAAACAAGCACAAAAAATTTTTTTTCTGGGAGAAGAATCATTGGTTCATATATATAATGACGACAATCCCCTTTGTAGCGATAAATTCTAAATTATATAATTATGACGATATATGTTAGAGGATTCCTGGGGAATGATGGATTCTCTTGTAAACGCTCTTACATTATTGTGTAATATGTAAATCGAAGTGAAATAAATAATATACATTTTTTCTTTCTGCGATCCAAAAGATGATGGATCGCTGTCTTTTTATCATATATGAATATTCGACGTACAAATGAAAATTTGAATATAAAATAATTTTCGATATATGTTTCTGTTTCTTATACGATATTCTTCGCGACAAAATGAAATTTTAATATAAATTATAATTTATTGTATAGTTTGCAAAATACGTACACAACTTTTTATTTTTTTTATTTAGCTCAACAGAATTATTTGACAATTCACGATGATTTATAAACATCATATCAAGGTTTTTAGTATAATTATATATGTGCTTATACATATATTTAAATAATTTTTAAAAATTGTGCTTGTTAATAATTTTAATCCTAACGCAAAAATGGTGGAATCTTTTACGATATTATTTAATAGTTTATAATAATTTTTAAGATATTAAGATAAGTTTTTTTTAAAAGTGATGGTCATTTATTCAAGACCTCTTTTAATAAAATGTTTTCGTAAATCACTGGAAAGTGACGATAAAATCATGCGTTCAACAAAAATGTAAGCCGACGAGAAATCGAAAATTTTCTTATCGATATAATTGGATATGTAATATATAATATACATACATATACATACATGCATACGCATACATACATACATACACACACATATACATGCATATATAATATACATATATATGAGATGTTTTAGAAATAGATGAACCAAATTCAAAAGTATTCCAGGTAACAAGCATATTTGGACATTGATGACGTCATAGTTACGTCAAATAATGTCATAGTGACGTCAATTGTGTCATAGTTGCGTCGAATGACGTTATAGTGATGTCGATGACATTATAGTGACGTCATTTTGATGTCTAATGACGTCAGTTTGCTGCGTGGGATATTTGTACTTATTATAATAATAAAAAAATATTGCTTAATTTAATTTCGAGTTGGAAATACTTTTTGTTTAACATAAATTGTTTACAAAAAAATAAATACCTTTTATTAAAAATATATAAATAATAATAGTTAACGTTAATGTCAACTATAGAAGCAATTAAGAAGTGTTTACAGTTTAAAAAGGAAGTATTTCCGGACTCACATTATATGACTTTTTTCATTATTATGGTAAATATACAATATGCTCATTAAGTGTTCGGTCATCTATTTTTGAAACACTATATATGGAGATAAAAAAACATCAATATCATCAGGCCTAATATACTTAAAGTTATTATGTACGTGTATACTTGTTGTTGCCGATTCTTATATATCCAGACATTAAGTGGGACATTTCGTCCGTCGATTTTCAATGTTAATGATCGACGATATTATATCATTGAGATGTGAAGGGAGAAAAAAAGGACAGGAGAGAGTAAAGAAGATGCGCCGTTTTCTCAAGAAATAGAACGATTGTTATTAGTCCTCGAGTAAACGAGTGAGAAAAATCAATAGCGTTTTTACGTAGAATATATAGAATGAAGGAACTTTGGAGAAATAAAAAAACAAGGCCATATAGGCCTCTTATATTATTAACAATGACGGGCAAGATCGGCATTTTTCACATATCCGTGTTAATCAAACATGTATACAGATACCCAGCAAACCCACATAGGGAGGACCTATTTATTATAATTTATTTAAAAAATTGATAATTATTTAAAAAAATTGATTTTTTCGATTTTCCGCAAAAATTTTCATTATACAAATTTTATTTTCTGGAATATTAGTACAAGTCTACAACAACCTGGAACAACTTTTAAAATTTTGAAATTTCAAAAATGGGCTGCTAACTTTCACGCACATCTTCAATTTATACTCGCACAATTCATCGTTGTTTTTAAAATAATATTTTTTAATGTACTTATATATAAAATAGTATAAATTGAAGTTGATTTTAATTGTATTTCTTTTAATTGATATTGTCAAATATTATTGAAACTATAAAGTCGATAATCTTGAATTTTGATTTTGAGGTAATTTTTTAAAGTCGTTTGAAAATTAATCTAAGTTTTTAAAATGAAACCACTGTAAATTTTTTAATATAATTTCTCGCAATATTCGGCATAAAAAGTTAAAAGGGTAGAATGGTAAAAAATTAAATAGTAAAATATTAATAAAAAATAAAAAAAAAAATATATATATATATATATATATAAAATTCATTTTTCGATGATCTTACCTCAGTACTTTTAGTTGCTTACCATTGTTGTAAGAAAAAGTATATTATGGCTACTTGTTACGTAAATTACATGTTTTCTTACAAATAGCTAGTGTTTTCTTTACACAGTAGATTCCTTTCGTTATTTTATGCATGAAAGTATTGTGCTAAGATTAAAAATACTTTGCGATATTTCATAGTCTACGTATAGTTTAATTAGTGTCAAATTAAAGTATACAATATCTCGTAAAATATTCATTATTTGACTATTTTACCCTTATAATTTTTATATCAAAAATTATGAGAAATCGATTTATATAAAAAGTTATAGGTTTTATTTAAAAAAATGACTCTTTCAAATGACCTTGAAAAGCGTTGTTCAGAAAAAATCAATAGCGTTATCTTCTATCCCCCTGCAAATGCAAATCAAACAACTTTTGTTTGAAATATTTTATTGTATAATCAAAAATAGAAGTTTCTAGGGGTAATTGATTAAAACTGGACACCTTGTATATACATATATATACAGGGTAAGTCATTTTAATCAACGCACGTAAATATCTCGTATAGTAAGCAAGATGGAAAAAATGTCTCAAACAAAAGTTTTTTGACTATGAGGGGACATAAGATGATGCCATTGATTTGAACTGAACATTTTACAAGATATTTTACATTTTATGCCAAAAAAATGTAAACTTTAAACTTTTATAATTTGAAAAGTACACAAACAATTGAAAAGTCATCAAACAACACTTTATTATAAGGTTTTGGAAAGCTCTAAATAAGCTATAAGAATATGTAATGAAAAATAGCAGGTTTCATTTAAGAAATTGAAGGTGACCTTTAAATGATTATACAAGGTCAATTCAATAATATTTATGTTCCCCTCATAGTCAAAACACTTTTGTTCGAAACGATTTTTTCCATCTTGCTTACTATATGAGATATTTACGTGCGTTGATTAAAATGGCTCACCCTGCATATATATATATATATATATATTTCAAATTATTTTTTTATAATCATATATATATGTAAACGCGATTTAATTTCTTTATCTCTTCAATGCTTTGATGCACCAGCAAAAACCAGAATTTCTCCATAAAATATTTTTATCCTCGCGGTTCTCCATTGTTGCAGCTTTGGTCCTTCGCTAATCGGTATAATCATGAAAGATATCGTCTTGTCCGTTCAATTGTGTCGCCGTGAATCATCGATAGTTTTTTCGTCGCCAAAGTTACATTCATAGTATTAAAGGCGAATAAATGCATTTAATATAATATTGTAGCTGAAATCGTAACTTCCAATAAATTTCTTTGTTGCTTCCTCTTTTTTTTAAATCAAATTTGCAATTTGTTCAAATTTCTGCATAAATTTCGTTTAAGATTAAAATAATATTCAAAAATATACAAAAATGTGATAAAAAATATTGTTGAAAATTAAAGTATAATTTTTAAGACATTAGTACATTTTATAATATAATTCACAGAATGTTGAAAACGCGAGGATGAACAATCGTAAAAATACTGTTAATAGATTGTTTTGAAATCTCCTATCGAATATAATTTTTTTGATTTTATATTCCGAAGGTATATAATATTGAACACAGAAAAGAGACCATAAATGGAAACATATGAATAAACTATGAATGTAACTAAGGAGCTATTTGAGAAATAAATGTACTTACTGTGTTCTCTTTACCCGATTTCTTTATTATCTCGATTTATTGCTCCAAATAATTGTTATCCAAGACGGATTATCATTATCATAATGTTAATTAAATTATGATTATCTATATTGTATTTTAAATAGCTATTCCAAACTATTATTGTACTAATATAAAAATGGCTTTATTGGCCAATTATTCGATGTCTTTATTGCGCCACTCGTGTTGTTTTTATAAACTTATTTTTTTTTATAGATTATAAACACTTTCTGTTGGTTTTGCCTGAGGTTTTAATTATACTACAATATAACTCAGCGCATAAGTATTTATTTCTTTATTCACAATGATATAGTAGTATATTATCTATCAGTGATCTTACTCTGGGATTATTAGAATTATTTATTTATTTTTACAAGATACCTCGAAGTCATTTCTGAAGACTATAAAATTATTATTCATTTTTTCCTAATTTTCTTCATGCAAAAAATACATTTTTTTACACTTCGAGATAATATTTATAAAAAGAGATATCTTTGAAAAATTTCATTTTCTTTCTATAATTGCACAAATGATCAAAGTACTTGGTTGTGTTTTTCTTCTTTCTGCAGAAATATACAATCAATTTATATAGACTATAGATATATAATTTATCAAACATATCATGTCATTAAAAGTATTCATTATTTCGCAACAATAAAAAAATGTAGAAATGATAATGATTATTATTGGAAGATTGATTGTACAGTACAAAATGAATTTCTTTTGCTTTCTATTATTATGCACAAAAAAATTTTCCTAATGATGAAAAAAATTCCATTAATCATATATAATTACATACACATATCTATATGTTATTTGTATTTCTCTACAGCCAATGCAAAATGTTACGAAAAAGTGAAAAATCTTAAAATAATTTAAGATGAGCACTTTATAAGTTTCAAATTTTTCAAACAATTTGTTATTTGTACAAGAATCACTCTCCTTCATTATTGTCCTTTGTATATTTGTCATTTTTCACTTCTATTCTCAATGGAGAACGTCCTCTGGTGTGATTGCCGATACGTGATCGCAAATCGCCGCCCTTTAAGGTACTTCTCAAATCATGGCTGCTCATTGATCGTCTTTAAGAAATACAATAAACATGAGTCTTCAAAGAGAATGAACGCTTAATTATGTAATAATGTAATATTTATAAAAAGAGATGAGATATCTTTCAAAATTTCACTTTTTCTTTCTACAGGGTGTCCCATAATTCGCGAACCACCGCGAATGGGCAGATAGAGCGTGTTAAACTGAATAGAAAAGTCTTGTATCATTTTGCGATATTCGCAATAATTATTGAGTTATTAACTAAAATATCTAAACGAATGAGCGGGTAGAAAGCGGTAGGCCGGACTCGGTGCGCATGTACCGCTTAGTATCAAAAGTATCATCTTACTTTTCGGCGCCACTACATTGGTCGCCGCTCGCTGCATGACGCCGCCTCTCGATCAAATAATGTTTTCTACCTGCTTATTCGTTTAGATATTTTAATAAATAACTCAATAATTATTGCGAATATCGCAAAATGATACAGGACTTTTCTATTCAGTTTAACACGCTCTATCTGCCCATTCGCGGTGGTTCGCGAATTATGGGACACCCTGTATAATTGCACAAATGATCAAAGTACTTGGTTGTTTTTATAATTATGTAATAATTAAGACTCCTAGGTCCGTAGCCATGTTAGATTGTGACGTAAATTTTTTTAAATTAAAAAATAAAAAGCAATAAAAAGAAAAGGGTGCACAAAAATAATGTTTGTGCAATCTGAGCGCGAAAAGTTGCCCTTTCCGCACATGATGGGATTTTAGAAAGGGCTTCCTTTCCACGCACCGGTCACACAAAATATCGTAGCTAACATGTGCAGGTCATAAATCGGCCGATCGTACGGATTGTCACACTCGGCTTCGCCTCGTGCGCCAAACTTCCACACTCTCGGCCGATTTACGATCCCCCGCACTTGTTAGCTAATATACTATTTATCGATAAAACGATTATTTTTGCGCACTCTTCTTTTTATTAATCAAATAGAATAATAAATACTTTTCCACGATTAAAGTATATAAAAATAAAACGAGAATCTACTGACATGTTAAAAATTTTAATAAAAAAATTATTTTTTTTTGTTTTTAAACAATTGTTTTTATTGATAAAACAGGACGGCGTTTAAAATCCCTTTAAGATCCCATTCAATTAATTAAATGACCGCAGAATATCTCAAGAATATACTTAAGGGGATCCTAAACGGTTGGCCGAACTCCGGCAAAATGCTTTGAGAAATCAATTGTTTTTTTCCTTTTTTATCGACAAAATATGAAGTTAGATAAACTATAAATCTATTTATTGGCTATACGTATTGCTTTTTACCTGAAATTAGAACGCTTCTCCCTTCGTTAATATTAATATTTCAATTTGTATAGGAAAAAGATTTATCAATCTGTATAATCTTATATTTATTGATTACAGAATTAGAATTCATAATTCTGTAATCAAGAAGTATGAGACTATACAGATTGATAAATCTTTATCCTACCTTATACGAATTAAAGCATTAATATTAACAAAGGGCGAAGCGTTCTAATTTCAGGTAAAAAACAATCCGTATAGCTAATAAATAGATTTATAGTTTATCTAACCTTATATTTTGTCGATAAAAAGGAAAAAAACAACTGACTTCTTCAAAGCATCCGTTGGAGTTCGGCCAACCGTTTAGGATCTCCTTAAGATGGTTTTAAATATAAGATCGGACTATGAATATTAGCCTTAATTATGTAATAATAAATTAAACGTGAAAAATATGATTTTTTTTTACCTGTTTTTCAAGTAACTGTCGCTCGTTTCGCTTTTTGTATGATTTAATCTTGCCCAAACAGTGGAAGCAATGCGTGGCTTGGGTGGGACCACTTTTATCACGCTTCCTTTAGGACCCTGAATCTCTTTCGCAGGTACATTGCTGACTTCGTCACTATCGTCGTCATCATCATCCTCTTCGTCCTCCTTATGTTCGCCCTCTTCATCTTCGTCCTCCTCTTCCTCCTCTCTTTCTCTTTCCTCTTCCTCTCTTTCTCTTTCCTCTTCCTCCTCCACCAGTATGCACTGTCCATATTTTTGCTCCAGCTTGCCTTTCTCCACTTGATTGTCTTCGTCTTCCGATTCCTGCCACTCTCCCTCTTCTTTTTCCGACAATTGCGCCTCGTTCTGATAATCTTGTCGGGTTATTTCTGAATTGTCATGTTTCGACTTTGTCAGGTTCGTATTCGTGACCACCACCTGAATGGGATCGCGGTACGGTGCTTTCGTTCTCGGCCTCCCTAATTTCGATCGCAAGTCACCGCTGCTATTTAAGCTATTGAGGACCATCTGAAGGAAAGAATAATCGTTTATACAGGGTGATACATTTTAATCGCTTCAGACAAATATTTCGAAAACTACGAGAGATACAAAAAAGTTTTTTAACTGTGAAGGGCACATAAGATGGTGTCATTATATAGTTTGACCTTGTATAATCATTTGAAGGTCACCTTCAATTTATTGAATGGAACCTACTACATTTTATTGCATAATCTTGTAGCTTATCTCGAGAACATTTCAAAACACTATAACAAAATATTTTTCTTTTTATTCTTCTGGGAAAAAAAGAAATCAACTAACTTGATATCGGAGTTTTGCTTTGCGCTTTTGCAATTTCTCCTCTTCGTCGTCGGCGTGCATCCGCATACGGGGAATTTTACTTCGTTTACACCAATTCTCATCGCTGTCGCTACTCGAACTGGTCTCCTCCAAGTCTTCCGTTCGCGACACGTCTTTATCCCTGTACTTGACGCCTAATCTCTCCTTTATACCACGTACTTGGTGGTCTTTAACGCCATTTCTTGGAAGAAAGTCATCCTCCACGACATCATTCATGCCCCATGTCTCGGACAATGCGCCCCAAGGATTTTTTGTTTGATTTCTATCTTTATCCTCATTTGATACTGTATGTTTATTTTGGATTTGCTTGTACATACGCTTACGGGACTCTGTTAGAATTCCTTTGAGACCTGAGAGAGTTTGCATAAAAAGAAAAAACTTTCACTTTTGTCTTTATCGATTTTAAGCCAGAGTTTTATCTTCGTAATGTGCACATGCACAAAATTGCATACAAGTTTACCTCCAAAGTTGGGATTTCCATACTTTTTGTAGTATTTGCTCCTCTTTTCCGCATTGGCAGGCTTTTTATCCATCCTGGTGGCAAATCTTAAAAAGATTCCTTTAGATTTTGGATAATCCATTCCCTTCCTCCATATACCTGGTGGTAACGGATAATTGATGTCTTTAATATTTATACAATTTTCTTCCTTTCCATCCGTATCTACAATAGACTCATTTTCTTCATCTGCTGTGATTATGCTATTTTTGGGATCCTCTTCTCGGTCTGAATATTTTGCAACACTACCTATGATTGTTTTAGATAATGCCAGCATAGCTCTGGCTGCCGATAAATTGTCAAACCAGACTATGTTACCTGTAATAAATTACATACTAAATGAATATCATAGATGTTTTTTTAGAACAAACTCAAACTTTGAAGCATACACGAAACATCATTGATCCATTCGATAGACATCGGAGCATAATCTTGAAAATATTTGAACACATCCTTGGTGCTCATTTCCTCGGTTCCTCTCATATGGATCACATTTAATCTGATGTTCTTTGAATTGTCACTATCATCCGTAATACCCATACTACAAATTATAATATATAAAACTCATAATATGCAATAGTATATTTATATTACATATTTTATATTATATATATAATTATATAATCTATAATAATTTTAATAATAAGGTATATTCATGGATTGCTTCTGCATTAAATAAAATAACTTTTTTTACCTGCTATATAAATTCTCTTCTCGATTCGGCGATTCCTTGAATTTCTCCAATAAGCCAAAACGCTTCGCTCGTTCTTCCATCTTCAATTTCTCTTCTTTGCTGAAAATATCTATACCAGTGGTAAATGTGTTCGTGGAATTTTCATAGTAGCTGTCGTCTAATGGTGGTGTTTGGATCTACATAGGATAATTTAAAGAATATTTTTTTACAATGACATTGATTAACGATACGGAATCAGCTAAATAAATATAAATTAATTAAAATTAATATAATTTTTACTCACTCGTAATTCTGTCGCTGAAATTGTTTTGACTCTGTCTACTTCCTCGATAGGAATCATCTCGACGTCCGAAGATTCATCGTACTCCTCCATTGTGCCAAACACCAAACAAATGTGCTGGGCGTTCAAATATTGTTGAGAAAAATGAACGACAATCGTAATTTTTTATCGTGTAATATTCCAATTATAGTTAATAAATAACGACTTACAATGTATTAGACAAAATTAATAGGTTACAGTTTACAAATAAGACAATCAGATTCTGTCATGGCCACCTATTGAACTGTACCACGGTTTATATAACTGTACACAGTAGTGACACTAGCCGGTATTCACTATAGATATATAATAGACCACGCCATCCGCGAGAGGGGCAGAATCATAAAGTCTCTTACTTCATGGACAGAATACTACCAAAGAATATAGACGAGTATAGAAGCACGGTTCTCGGTACCCCGCGGTCGCACGAGCTGGGGTACTTTGCTATAGTTTACGTTACGTATACTGTACTATCTATAGCATTTCAGTACAGTACGTAATGTAAACTATAGCAGAGGCTCGTTCTACCACAGATTAATAGACAGATCGCCAAAGGCCTGCCTAAAGAAGAGACCGCCATCTTCGTGCGATAGACTTTGCCCCTTACCGACACACTTTGCCCCTGGTTCGAGTCCGTGCTAAATTTCGTAGACTCGACCAAAAGACTTTGCCCCTGGTGCAAGTCCAGGCTAAATTTGTTTGACATTACCAACAGACTTTGCCCCTGGTGCGAATCCAGGCTAATTGATCATGAGACCAATTTGAGAGATTTGGCCCCCGTTGTGTGTGTGTGTGAGAGAGAGAGAGAGAGAGAGAGAGAGAGAGAGAGAGAGAGAGAGATATTTTACATATGCATATATATACATATATATAAAATTTATTAAATATAAAAAATATATTTTTTACACATAAAATGTTTTTTTATTGAAATAATCACGATTTTAAATGTGATTTAACACAGTGTTCAAAAATTTTTTAATTAAATTTTTTAATTAAATTTTATTAAAGAAAATTACTTGAAATTTTTTACATTAAGAATTTAAAGGCTCCTTATTCTCTTGTAGAAATTTATCACTACGCCAATTAATCACTTATTTCGAGTATTTAAAATACTATAATATACAGTAATTTAAGTATTCGAAATAAAAGTGATTAATTACTCGAAATAAGTGATAAATTGGCGTTACTAGTAATAAATTTCTATAAGGGTTGAAATAAAGTATAAGAGATAAATAGGCTATATGTGAGCCGTATGCGAAATGTGAGATGTAAGACGCATATTAAAATTTAATTTTTCGATATAACTTTCAAAAATGTACACGAGGTACAAAAAATTAGCTTGGACATTTGTAAGACTTAAAATTGGGATTAATTCTCAATTCTATTAATTAAATTTCGATATAACACACCTTACATCCGCGCACGGCTCACATATAGCCCATTTATTAGTGCAATTTTTAAGTTCCTTATTTTTCAAAGTTCACCTTTTTACGTTATCAAATATTTTTGGTACGTTTTCAAGAATTTTATATTTTTACTTACCGCAGTTTCTTATTCAAATGTAAAATCTTTTATCGCAGTCTATAAAAAATTGAAACAATTTACAATTTTATGATATAATATTATTATTATTACAATTTCTATATATATGCACATCTGTCAAATATCGTGATTTATTTCACATTATTATTATCTATTTTAATAAAAAAAAAAAAAAAAAACACTTGCAACAATCAAAAATAAACCGCCTGCCGCGAACGGAAAATGCCAAGAAAGCACGCAATTTCCGCGAATCTCGTAATTTTTTTGAAAAATCAACAATTTCAACGAAATTGTAAATTCTTCATATCATTGCACAAGTATAATTCACAATAATAATTTTCAGTAACTACGATAAAAAATCGTATACTGAAAACCGCAAACGAAAGTGCAATGGGAGTAAGAGTAAAGTCTGTGATAAAATTAATTGGCAATAGAAAATTAATAATTTTCAAATAGAAAAATTTTGAAATTACCGAGGATTTACAAATAATAAAGTAAAAATATTAAATAATTTATGTTTTCGAATTTTGCTCGCGGAGAGGATCTTTAAAACAAGATTTTTAGAAGAGAGGACCTTTAAAATATAAACAGGCAAAAACGTTGGAAAAATTAAAGCGCGCGTTTAAACAGATAAACGCAATGAAATAGATACGCAATTGTTTTTACTTATCGCTGTAAGCTCACAAGCTTCTGACGTGCTATACACTTTTATATAATATATACAGGGTGTCCGGTAACTAACGGACCAATGATTAAGGGCGGATTCTCTGGCCAATTTGGAGACGATTTTTCCTTAGCAAAAATGTTGAGAAGTCAATAATTTTCGAGTTATAAGCGATTGAAAAAAATAGGTTTTTTGAAAACTAAACGTTTTGGAGTTAAAAGTCTAACATAATTACATTCTTCAGTTAATTTCAGGTAGAGTTTACTATAATAAAATTTTAATTTAAGGCTTAGTTATAAAGATACATAATGACAAAGATTGGAAAGTTGTAAAAAATGATGACCTTTTTCGACATTTTCGCTGAGGAAAAATCGTTCCCAAATTGACCAAAGAATCCATTTGTAATCATTGGTCTGTTAGTTACCGGACACCCTGTATATTGGACACGAGTTTCGTTTGTTTCAGATTCTCGAGAGTTGAAGTAGGAACATACGAGTATCATATATCGTTTGTGACTTGCCGAATGAAAGCAAGACAGAGAGCGAACGAGATGATGAGCTTAATAGCTCATAATGTTATAAATAAATAAATAAAAAATTATAACCTGACCTACTAGTTATTGAATCTTTTTTTAATAAAATGTTTCATTATTATTATCATCTAAGTCTAAGTCGTTTAATTACTTTTTAGTTTTTTAATAATTAATTTAATTTATTCTAGTCATTTTTATATGAGAAAAATAATATCACGTATACGTTTTATAATGAATTAATATATTTCGGGAACCGAATTATATATTCTTAATAATATAAAAGTGTTCAAAAATTATATTTGACTTTTAATTTTAATTATTTTTTAGCAAAGAGTTCGAAATCTCTTACACACATAATGGGGATTTTTTTCATCCATATAATTCGCAATTAAGTATATATGTTAATTATTAATTTTAATAAAATAAAAATTAAAATTAAAGGTCAAATATAATTTTTAAACACAAATATATTAAATTAACTATAAAAACGTATACCCATGATAGTATTTTTCTCGTACAAAAATAATTAGAGTAAATTAAATTAATCATAAAAGATTAAAAATTAATTAAAGAATTTAAACTTATATTTTATATAATAATAATAAAACATTTTATTACGTCAAACCGTCGTGAAATAATTAAATAAAATTTGCTAGTTACGTCAAAGTCAAGTTTTCTAAGCTTATAAAACATTTTATTAAAAAATAGATTCAATAAATATAAGTACATGTTATATATATACTTATATTTATTGAATCTGTTTTTTTTATAAAATGTTTTATTATTATCATAGATAATATAAATTATTTAATTATTTTTTTATTTTTTTATGAGTAATTTAATTTATTCTAGTTATTTTTGTACGAGAAAAATACTATTACGGGTATACGTTTTCTAACGAATTAAATATATTTATGTTCAAAAATTATATTTGACCTTTAATTTTAATTTTGTATTTTATTGAAATTAATAATTAACATATATACTTAATTGCGAATTATATGGATGAACAAAATCCCTATTATGTGTGTAAGAGATTTCGGAACTCTTTGCTAAAATAATTAAAATTAAAAGTCAAATATAATTTTTGAACACTTTTATATTATTAAAAATATATAATTCGACTCTCGAAATATATTAATTCATTATAAAACGTATATGTATTAGTATTTTTCACATATTAAAATGATTAGAATAAATTAAATTAATTATTAAAAAACTAAAAATTAATTAAACGACTTAGACTTAGATGATAATAATAATGAAACATTTATTAAAAAATAATTATAATAGGTCAGGTTAATATTTTATTTATTTATAACATCATAAAATTCTGTCCTTTCCGAAATACGCGAACGCTACGAAAAGATAAATTTCGTACATGCCGCCGGACGAGTTCATGAGCATGAGACGCTCTTATCTTGAGAACGTATTAATAGTTACTGCATTGACCACTACTACGATATGGCGCTGAAATCAGTGAGAAATGCTGGTCTCTCCTTCATCCAGACCTTTGGCGATCTGTCTATTAATCTGTGGTTCTACAATACATCGTATGTCGCAGTCGGAGTTGGAACGTAAGCGATTGTCTAAGGGTGCGATTACATGGACGCGCGGAAACGCGGAAACGCGGAAACGCGGAAGAGAAAGTAACTAAACTTTACTAGAGTCCCGCATTTCCGCGCGTTCCGTTCCGTCTGTTTTGATTGCCTTATATTACATGGAGCACATTTTGAGCGGAAAAGCGGAACGGGGAATTATAAAATATTAATATTTAACTATATTTATTGATTAAAATGCTTGTATTCAATAGATAAGTTGAAAAGATGAACATATTAAAAGGAATTACAATGAATTAAGTAAATATAAATTTAAAAAATTAATACAAATGTCTATTTGTCACTATACCGTTCCGCTTTTCCGCTCAAAATGTGCTCCATGTAATATAAGGCAATCAAAACAGACGGAACGGAACGCGCGGAAATGCGGGACTCTAGTAAAGTTTAGTTACTTTCTCTTCCGCGTTTCCGCGTTTCCGCGTTTCCGCGCGTCCATGTAATCGCACCCTAATGCGAAAATTTTGTTTTTGAAAAAGATTTCTTCATTGGACAATCGCTTACGTTCCGACATCCGACGGCGACATACGATGTATTGTAGAACAGGGTACTTATTACGATTCTTTGAGTGAGTTTGCTCACGAGGTGAAAATCACAAAAGTGAGAGATTCACTAGGTTGTCTACGCTTCTATTGGTCAAAATCTAGTGAATCTCTCACTTTTGTGATTTTCATCTCGTGAGCAAACTCACCCAAATAACCGTAATAGGTACCCAGGTCAAAGTATCCTAGTTTGTGCGACTCGCGAGGTACCGAGAACCGTGCTTCTGTACTCGTCTATATTCTTTGCTTCTATACTCGTCTATATTCTTTGATATTACCCAAGGTTCGTAGATGAACGACGGGAGAAAACTAAGGTCGTCGCATTCAAGAGGTTTGTTCGCGTCGCATGCCCCAACATGCTCCTTCTTACTCCAATGCGCTCGTATTGGTGCGCTCCTCGAATTAGACCAATACGAGCGCATTGAAATAAAAAGGAGCAAGTTGGAG